TTGGAAGAGAAGCTCTCTTTCATGCATGAAACAAGACATGCTTTTGGTAGGACAGCTTTGCTTTTGAGTGGGGGTGCTTCCCTGGGAGCCTTTCATGCGGGTGTTGTGAAAACACTGGTGGAGCATAAGCTCTTGCCAAGGATAATTGCTGGTTCTAGTGTGGGATCCATCATGTGTTCCATTGTTGCAACTCGTTCTTGGCCTGAGCTTCAAAGTTTTTTTGAGGATTCCTGGCAAAAAATTAAATTTTTTGATCAGCTGGGTGGAATCTTTACTGTTGTGAGGAGGGTCATGAGACAAGGTGCTGTTCATGAGATTAGGCAGTTGCAATTGATGTTAAGGCATCTTACAAGTAACCTTACATTTCAAGAGGCATATGATATGACAGGCCGCATTCTTGGAATAACAGTTTGCTCCCCAAGGAAGCATGAACCACCTAGATGCCTTAATTACTTGACTTCCCCTCATGTTGTAATATGGAGTGCAGTAACTGCTTCTTGTGCCTTTCCAGGCCTTTTTGAAGCACAGGAGCTAATGGCAAAAAATAGGAGTGGAGAACTTGTTCCTTATCACCCACCCTTCAATTTGGATCCTGAGGAGGGTTCAGGAACATCTGCACGTCGATGGAGGGATGGGAGCCTGGAGGTTGACTTACCTATGATGCAATTGAAGGAACTGTTCAATGTCAATCATTTCATTGTAAGTCAGGCAAACCCCCACATTGCTCCATTGTTGAGGATGAAGGAGTTTGTGAGAGCCTGCGGTGGCAACTTTGCTGCCAAGGTATATCTGTTTGGTTTGAAACTCTTTTTATCTTATTATTCTCGGTTGGTAATATTCATTTTATGTATTAATTCTTATTTATTTCCCATAGGAAATTCATTCTGGGATAACTTATTCACAACTTTTTTTGCATAGTTTTTTTAGTTGTGAACTTGTATTATAGTTGATATCGTGTAAACAAATAATGTTCCCAAGTGTGTGAAAAATGGAAATGTTTGTTTTGGGTTTTTAGGGATTGCTCATTAATAGCTTGGAACCCTATTTAAGAAGCGAAGCTCAATGATTTTCACTTGTCAACTTGCAATGCACTATTTTGAGTGTTGTAGCTCTCTAGCTCCTTACTACTAGGGTTTTGTTGAGGCTTCAATGAAATCTCTCTATCCTTGCCTCTTAAGACTTGTGAACTTTCTCTGACACACTTGCATGCAGAGTTGGTCCTGTTTTTTTGTTAGTTCCAACTATTGTAGAATGTCATAGTATACAAGCTAGTGCACTTTAGGTACCAAATAGGTAGAGCTCAAGATTATGGGGTGCTGACTCAGTGAAACAAATAGACCGAGCTCTATGAAAAATTTAGATACATGACTGTTGATTCCTGGCCTACTCATTTAGGGTATTTATTGATTATTGTACTTTTTCTTTCATCTTTTATTTGAATGATGAAATGAAATTAACTTACTCTATTGCTCTACATTGCAGCTTGCTCAGCTCACTGAAATGGAAGTAAAACATAGATGCAATCAGATATTGGAACTTGGCTTTCCATTGGGGGGACTTGCCAAGCTGTTTGCTCAAGATTGGGAGGGTGATGTTACTGTTGTTATGCCAGCTACACTTGCACAGGTGCGTGTAAAACTATATTATGTGCTTGAAAGTTAGAAGTATGATGCATTTCCAATTAAATATTGAACAGTCAAAATATTTGTCAACTAGCCCATTTAAGTGACAATAAAAAATAAAAAATGGAATGCATTTGTTTCAGGGTTTATTTTGTTGAATTAGTTGCAACTATCTCTGCTCATTCATTTTTTAACATGTTTGTTCAAGAATGAGAAGTTTTTCAGTAAGGGTTAACATGCCTGCTTTTTTTCTCAATGTCTCATTTACTGTTTCAGTACTTAAAAATCATACAAAATCCAACTCACGTGGAGGTCCAGAAAGCTGCAAACCAAGGGAGAAGATGCACTTGGGAGAAGCTTTCAGCCATAAAAGCAAATTGTGGCATTGAGCTTGCTCTTGATGAGTGTGTTGCAATTCTTAACCACATGCGAAGGCTGAAAAGGAGTGCTGAGAGAGCTGCTGCTGCTACTTCTTCTCATGGCTTAGCTGGTCCATTGAAATTCAGTGCTTCAAAAAGAATTCCTTCATGGAATTGCATTGCTCGAGAGAACTCAACAGGCTCCCTTGATGAAGATGTTACAGAAGCTGCTTCCAATATTCATCATGGCATTGGTGGGTCCACAGGAGCATCAAACTCTTGTAGGAATTTGCGGAACCACCGTAATAGCCATGATGGAAGCGATAGTGAATCAGAAAATGTAGATTTACATTCTTGGACAAGATCTGGTGGGCCATTGATGAGGACTACTTCTGCAGATTTGTTCATTGATTTTGTTCAGAATCTAGATGTTGATTCTGAACCTACCAAGGGTTCAATGGTTCATCCCAGTTCTCCTGGAATTCAGATGGGAGGAGGAGATCCATCCAGTCAGAGCTCAAGGTTAACTTCACCAGATAGAAACTCAGATCTTGAATTTGATCAGAGGGATTTAAGCAACCGAACCCCTGTCACTGGCTCTAGCCTTATGGTTACTGAAGGTGATCTTTTGCAGCCTGAAAGGATCCATAATGGAATTGTGCTAAATGTTGTTAAGAGAGAGAACCTGGCACTTTCAAATAGGAATCAAGATTTAGAAAATTACAACACAGAAGTGGCTGAATGCATGCAGCTTGATTGTCCTGAAAAGGAGACAGATGCTAGCTCATCATCTGAAGATGGTGATGATGATACTCCCACTGAAAAGAACCAAGATGAAACAGGTACTGATTCTAGTTCCAAGGATCATTCTAACATAAATGAGAGAGACAATCAAAATGTTATGGATGCATAAATTGGATGTCATTTTGCTTCACTTCAGTTGTAATTGTTTCTTCTTGTTCAATGAAATGAAAACCCTTCCTCTTTGACATGTTTTTTAGCAGTCAGAACTGAAAATACATTCTTTGATTCTTTCTTAGAAAATGCTGAATAGTCTTTAGATTGTAACTCTTTGTTGAAGATATAGTGGAAGAATGATTAGGCACCAAATCATGAACATGTGATTTGGATCAAGTTTGTGTGGAGCAGATGGTTTCTGCCATGGTTTTGGTTTATCTGTTACAGCCGACAGAACAAAAACAAAAGACCAGTAGACTATAAAAGGGATAGAAGGTCCTGCCTGATGACATGATTCCCACATGGCAATGAAGTCGACTCCGTATACAAATAACTTTTCCTCCTTTATTTCTTGCACGTTTAAAAGATTGCATGTCATGTTCACTTTGTAGGCGTTTTGATTCACTACCAAAGAATTTATGTCTCATGTTTCTATTTGACCATACCGTTAGAATGGAGATAGATGAAGTTAGTATCCTCCGTCTTTGAGAAATTTTGTTGTGTTAAGAAATTATTATTAATATGTTATATTAAGTGAACGTGTTAGAATGGAGAAAGACGAAAAAGTAAGTATCTTCTCTTTTTCACTTTAGAAATTTTGTTGTGTTATAAGGTTATTACTGTTATGATATTTCAAGTTTACGTTAGAAGTGTCAAACTAATTCCTTAGGAATTGTTGTTGCTGATATTTAAAAGTATTTACATCTCATGTTGAAGTGTTATATAAATCGTGGTGATACTTTTAAGTTGAAATATAAAGATTTTTGACATGCCTATCTTTTTAGATTGATGTTGAAGATACCACCTACCAAAGAGCATCTGAGTGATATAGGATTTTTCTAACCATAAATAATAATAATAATAATAATAATTTTTTTGAACAGTAATAATAATAATAATAATATTTCTAAAATAGCTAAAATTTGTATCACAAGATGTGTTTAAATTAAATGGGTATTTTAGAGTAAGTTGGACGGAGCTATTTTTTAACTGTTTATAAGAATTTTTTTCCACTTCACAAGTTTTTAAAAGGAAAATGTTGTTTTTAGCATTTAAATATTTAAAGTATTTATAAATAAATTTTTAAAAATTTATAAAGGTAATTTTTTAAAAAAACTTACTTATAAGTACTTTAAATACTAAAAATAAATATTTTTTAACAAAATTTTAAACGTCATTAGAAAAAAGTGTTCATAAACAATAATAAAAAAAAAAAACTCAGACCCTTACCTCTCTTTAGTTTGAGGAAACGAGGAGGATTAATCTTTTTCATTTCGGTTAAATATTAATTTTAGTCTCTCAACTTTAATGATTCACACAATTTTTGTCCTTAAATTATTTTTTGTACTTTATTAATCCCTTAACTTTAAAAATTGTACAATTTTAGTCTCTTCGTCAGTTAGTCTTGTTAACTCAGTTCACATGGCATTTTCCTTATTTCTTGTAATGACATGTTAATGACAAATTATATAATTAATTTAGGTAGACAATACCAAATCAGATTTAATTATCATTTCTAATTCTTTTCAATTTTTGAATATAAAATTACTAAAATGCTTTTAATTTATTCTTCTTGCCATCATTCTTCTCAACCCTTTCTTAATCTGTTCTCCTCGCCACTACCATCGTTTCTAGCCATCATTCCATCCATCGTTTCTCTCTCTTTGTCATTATTTCTCTTCTTCCCTCCCTCCCTTCCCCTTTCCTTAGCTATGACTAGGTTCGTAAGGAACCCAACAATGAGTTTGTCATGAACCCAGACAACCTGGTTTCGTCACAAACCTTGATCTTACCTAGGCTTGTCGCATACCCAGATGACTTGGCTTCATCAGAAACTAAGGAATGGGTTCCTGAGGAACCCAGATCTAGGTTCACACGAACTGAGGAATGGGTTCCTCAGGAACCCAAATCTGGGTTTGTGTAAACCTAGGAACTGATTTCTCACCCTCACCCAAATCAACCATTGATTTATTTGGTAGCCTCATGTTCAACTTATCTAATCTCCTCTTCCTGCCTTTCAGTCTTCTTGTCTTTCAGTGGGTTAGCGGCAATCATACGAAATTCGAATGATAAATAGTGGGTCAAAGGTAACAAGCAACCAATTGGGCAGGAGGAACGAAACAAGGTGAGAATGGTAAATGATGAACAAGCTAAGAACAATGGAGCCTTTGCAAAATCCTTTGAAAAAAATGAACATGCTAAGCATAGTGATTTCCAACCCAAACTGATTCTTCTTTCTTGTTCTTAACTTCAATTTCTCCTAATTTTGTCTATGTGATTTTGAAAGAATACTATATTTGTACATTTTTTACAAGGAAAAGCGTAGGGTTTATAGCAAAGTTGTCAATATTGTATCGACATGTGTACTGATTTTGCTATTGGAACAATACGTATTGGATATTGGAATTTTTCACATACCGTTTCGGATATATCACTATAAATATATATTTCTATAAATTAAATATCAAATTTTAAAATAAGATAAAAGATATTAATGTTTGAAACCATCATATTCCTATAAATTGTAAACAAGTTTAAAATGATCATTTTTAGTCTCTCAACTTTTAATATATGCATATTTTTCATCCATCCACTTTAAGTTAAGGGAGTAAAAATGTGTATATTTAGATAAATTTAATAAAATAATTGATAGAAGAATTGAAAAAAATACATTTTTCATAATTAATGGACTAAAAAGTACATAAAAAAGTTAAATAATGAAAATTATATAAAACATTAAAGTTGAAGACCAAAAATATAATTTACCCTTCTAAAATTTGAATTAAGTTCTACTGGCTAATTTTTGTGTACTGGTTGGTACGCTAAAATACTGGCTGGTACATCGAAATTTGATCGAAATAGACAATTTAACTGAAACGAAATTGAATCATGTATCATTTTGGTTTAATATAAAAATCGATACGTACCAATCGTACCGGCCGATATGATATGATATCAATAACATTGGTTTATAGATGAGATTTTGGTTGATTTTGTTTGGATTTGTCTACAAAGTAGAAATCAATTGATTAGGGGAGAAATTTGAAGTGTAGAACAATGGAGGGGAGAGAGAATCATTTAATTAATTAAAATTAATTGATATAAAATGGTTAAATTCTTAACTAATTTATAAATATAAAAGGTAATTAACTTTTAATTTTTTAAAATAATATAATTTATTTAAAGAAAGTGGATCCCACTACGTTTTAATTTACAATTGACTAATAAATATAGGCCAAAACCCCTATTTGCACCCTCTATTTAATTCTTTTCTGTTGTCAATACCTTCCAAAATTTTTCCTCCCTATTCACACCCTCAATTTTTCAAAACTCGTAAAAAACTCAATATTTTAACAAGCCGTAACGGAAACGTTAAAAAATGTATTACGTAGCACCAAAAGATTGACGTGGCACCATATGGCGTTAGTAATCCAATGTGGATTCTTTTTGGATGACATGGCATAATTTTTTACACAAATGGATGCAATATGTATAGTAAAACCAATAAAAAAATTGTAATACATGATACCAAACAATAACATGAACCTTATGTTACCTCATTAATCCAACGACGACTTTTTTTTTTTTTTTTGATGATGTGGCATTTCTTCATCTTTTTCTTTCCCCCTCATCCTCGGCATCATCTTCACCATCCTCTTTTCCTCTTCTCAATGATTTCTATGGAGCCCAGATTCTGGGTTCCTGCTGGGTTTCACGCAAGAACCCAGATCTGGGTTCCTGTGCGGGGTACCCAGATTTTGGGTTCCGACCTTTTTTTTTTTTCTTTTTATTTTGAATGTATTTATCTTAATTTCTTATTTTATGCAAAGCAATTTGGAATAATTTTTTTGTTGGAAATGTGAGTTTTTTTGCTTGGAGATTGTTTCTAAACAGGTTGCCGATTTGAGTTCAAGTGGGGTTAACATGAATGGCAAGAACGGTTTTTTCGTTTTTTGTGGGAAAGGGGTGGAAGATGCATATCATGTTTTTGTGCGGTATTCATTTACTTATAATTGTGTGGATGAAGATCTTAGCTTGGTAGGCATTCATGTGAAATTGGATTCCATGAGGAACTCAGAACCTGAGTTCCGCAAGGAACCCAGGATAATGAGGACGAGGATGGTGAAGATGATGCCGAGAAAGAAGAAAATAAAGAAATTAAAATTAATTATGATTTAATTATAACACATTATAAAAAAAAAAAAAAAAACAGTCCACATTGGATTAATAAATGTGACATAACGTCCTGGGTTCTTGGTTCCATGAGGAACTCGGGAGGATGAAGATGAAGATGGTAAAGATGATGCCGGAAAGAAGAAAATGAAGAAATTAAAATTAATTATGATTTAATTATGCCACATCATAAAAAAAAAAAAAGTCCACATTGGATTAATAAGGTGACATAGCGTTTATTTTACTGTTTGATGTCACGTATTATAATTTTTAACAGTTATTAATGTTTCCATTATGACCCATTAAAATATTAGGTTTTTTATGGGTTTTTTACGGGTTTTGAAAAGTCGAGGGTGTGAATAGAGAGGAAAAATTTTGGAAGGTGTTGACCACAAAAAAAAATTAAATAGAGGGTGCAAATAGGGGTTTTGGCCATAAATTTAATTAAAATAAGTGAATTATTAGATTTTGTACAAGTATTATTTAAATTAATAGAGATGTAGGGTCTACTATAAATTTTTTAGGTGTCAAATTCTATCATGTTTTGTCTATATTAGGTGTCATTACACATCATCCAAAAGTGCCATCTTTGATCATTTAACGGACATGCTAGCTTAGTCTGGCACTAAGTGGCCTCTTGGCTACCCCCTTGCGGGAAAGTACCAAGACACCAAAGGCCTGGGTTCTAACCTAAGCCCTATTCCCTTTACCCCGAATTCCCCAAGGTCAAATAAAAAAAAAAAAAAAATCAAACACGTTGGCTTTTAACTGATGGAAAGACCAACAAAATGCATTTTGTAGAGTTTAGGGACTAAAAAAATACAAAAAATAATTGAATGATGAAACTTGTACAAAACATTAAAATTGAGGGACAAAAATTAACATTTGTTGAAGGACGATTTTTTTTTTAAGGTCAAACTTGGACTCAGGTCCAGCGGTATCTAATGCTATAATACATGGTTAAACCCAACAGTTTCTAATGCTGTAATACATGGCTAAACCCAACAGTATCTAATACTATAGTACATGGCTAAATTGCCAAAAATATATAAGGAAGTTTCTTTCCTTTATTATTTCCTTATTTATTTAATTTCATCATTTTCATCAACTGATCACTATTCCTCTATGCAAGTCATCAATAAACCCATAAATCCAAGCTCATGAGAATATTCGGGATAAATTATGGGAGTAATGGCTTGGCAGGCATGGATGAGTGAATGTTGCTTGTCTGGCAAAACGAGGTATTCACACCAACAAAGCTTGGTGCTGTTGATGTTGCCCGATTTTGCCAAAAAGGGTTGGGTGGCGAAGATGTGGAGGTTGGGCTTGGTCACAAAACCGTACTATTTGATGCTAATTAGAAGCTTGGAATCTCGTTCAAAACCAACTAAAGAGACTATTTTGGTTACCACCACAATTTGCAACTATAGTTAATGCAAAGGTGGTTGCACAATGCTGAAAATTGTTGAAAATGGTGGCTACACAAGTTGGAAACTGTTGAAAAAGATTTGACTTCGTTGGCAAAATCTACCAAAATCTTGGACAAATGTTGGGAATCTTCCAATATCTTGGCCAGCCTTTAGAAATTTACCAAAATCTTGGCCAGATTTGATTTTGTTGGCTGCACTCAATTATCCCCCTAAAAATGGTATTTTGTTTGGCTGGAGAAATTCCCAAAAATATTCAATTTCTAGTCCTTCACCAGAACCACTAGGCAATTCACGATGCCATCGCCAAAGAGCTGTCAGCCAAATCTAGAACCACCCAAAACATGACAACTCACCCAAGCCCACTTATACCTTTCTGACCCATCAACCAAAAATTACAAAAATGCCACTGGCCATATATATATATATATATATTATCTTTCCTTCATTTTTTAGTAGAGAGATGTACAGAACAGACTAGATTTTCCACTTCCACTTTTTTCCTCACATACCAAACTTCTATTTTCCCTTTGAAAACTTCTTCATCTTCAACCTCTCATTTTATACACCAAAATACCCAGAAATCACCATTTTTACTACATTTTCTGCATTTCCAGCACTACATAATATTTTCCAGACTTGCAGAACATCATAGCTAGGAGACAAAACATCATGGCTGGGAAACAACATATTGTAGATTCATTTTTCTGGATTATTTTCTTGTGCATTAGATGATCAAGCTAAAGAGTTAGCATAAAAAATGAGATCAAACCCTCCATTCACAAGCCCCCATAACGGTCATCTTTCCTTCTCCCATCACTATTTTCAAGTTTATTCCTTTTTTCTTGTTAAAGCTTGAAGGAGACCATTGTGCCTTTTATCTACAACATGAAGGTTGCTTATTATAGAGTAGAAGTATTTGTCAAGGATAATAAAGAGCACATTCATTGTCTTTACTATTGTGTTATACTATCCAAAAATGTGCTTCTCAAGTTGTAATTTTTAATCCTTACGTATTTTCTATCCTTGTTGCTCCTACAGTAATGTACATTTCATTTTCATTGTTTTTGATAGTTGTGTAATCATGCTTATTATCTTGGGAGCACCATCATCACTCCACTCTTTCTAGCTTGGTTGGGGACATTCTATTTTCGGTCTTTGTTGGGGAAGCTCTAATTTCAAACTTCAAACTTCGCTGGAAAAACTCTATCTCTGAACTTGGTTGGAGACACTCTGTTCCCAAACTTCACCAGAGAGACTTTACTTCTGAACTTCGCCAGAGAAGCTCTATTTGTGAACTTTGCTAAAGAAGCACTCTGTTCCCAAACTTCGCCCGAGAGACTCTACTTTAGAACTTTACTAGAGAAACTCTATTTTCGGTCTTCATTGGAGAACCTCTATTTTCGGACTTCGCCAAGGAAACTTGCACCTTTAGGCTTCGTTGGAGAATTTATTGTTGATCAACATCGCTGGGCAAAATGAGACGGCCCGTGGCACATAGCCTCTTGCACGTGAAACGGGTGCCGCCAAAAGGACCCTCCTTATTATTTACTGGTGGTATCTTAGTCAGCCTTCGCATCATCACCGCTGTTACCTCTTCAACCTACATCACCAGCACACCCAAACAACATTTAACCTTTCTTTTCCCTCCCCTCCCATCCTCCCTAATTTTTCGTTAATTAAATAAAAAAAAATTTTCCCACTACCCTCAAAACCATAGAAACTATTAATGTTTTCTAAGTGTGTTCTTTTTGTCATCTCTATCTCACCCAACTTCATAAAATTTAATTTAAATCAAAACCTATCATATACAAAAGACTGTTAGGTTGTTGGTAAAAGGCTTATAAAAGAATAAAAAAGAAAAATAAAGTCTTTAAAACTTGTATAATTTAAATGGAAATGGGATCCCCTCATTTGACCATGTTAAAATGTGTAAAAGAAAGTCAAGAAAAACAAAATGAAGGAAATTTCTTCCTTTCGCTTCTCTCTTAATTTTTTATTATTTAAATAAAAGAAACTTTTCCTTTTCCTCACGTCTCAACCATTTCCTCAAATCGAGAAAACCCTTGGAGTTTGGCTTCTCTTTTTTTTTTTTTTCTTTTCCCTAGGGGTGAGAGGCTCCGTCTTTCTTCTTTGGATTTGTCGAAGGAGGAGGCGATTTTTTGGTTTTCTCTTCTCGGTGAGATCAAATTCTGCTTTTCTCTTTCGTGTTGCTTCGGCTTTGGAATTGAAAATAAATTTTAACCAATAGCGCTTTCTACCTGTTGGCAAATCTTAGCATAATTAAATACAAACATTTTATATTATTTGTGTTTCCCTTAATCAATGGAATACTCAGTAACCTCTCTATTAAAAAAAGAAATGCAAAGAAAGTGGGAAAAAAAAAAGGTGAAGAAGGAAGAAGCCACTTAGCAAGCGGATTGATCTTATCTTCAATGCCCACTAAGTCTCATTGTGGGCAACGACTTTCCTTATTTTGGGATGTGAAAACAGAGAATATGCATCCACTATGCAGAGATTGATGACCAAAATAATTAGTCAGAAATAATGAAAAGATAAATATTTTTATATTATTATATGCCCTTACATATAAGATAGTTGTGTATTAATTATATTTTTTATTAATTATTATCTCAAAAATAAGAATTAATTTTAATTTTATTAATTGTCATATTAAAATCATACTATATTATTGGTGTTAAAAGTAAAGTTATTTTTTGTGTTTTTTATATAAATTAATAAAAAATTATTGTGTAATTTAAATTCTATTATAAAAACTATTAAATAAAAAGTAAGCGCCTTAATATTAAAAATCAGACACTTTAAATTATAAAATAAAGAATTCACAAATTAATATATAAAAAATACAGTGAATGTAATTTTAACCTATAAACTTTAAAAAACTCAAATATAAAAAGTAAAACTCTACATTAAGCCTCTAAACTTACTTTAAATTATTAATTAAGTCTCTAAACTTTTATTAAAGTAAATAAGTCTTTAATCTTGTTATATTAGGCACTTTAACTCTTTTCTTTATAACAAATTTAATATTAATTTATGTTTTACTTATATAGATAAGATTAATACTTATTATTATGTAATGACATTAATATTTTATTTACATAAACAATACAAAAAATAAAATTAAGTTTTTCATTAAAAAAAGTTAAATTATTTAGATCACAAAATTCAAAAATTTATTTATTTTAATAAAAATTCATAAGTTTAATAAAAAAAATTTTAAATTGAGGTTTTGCGCATATAAAAAGGAAGGAAACTATAGAGCCAAAATATGGACGGTAAAAGCATATAAAATCCAATAAAGAATAAAAAGTGTGGTCCAACGGTCCGCCCACTGAACCCAAGCGAGTGTCCTGTGTGCTAGCCGTTTCGTGAGGTCACTGCTAATAGCGTACAAGGTACAGTGTTTCCGCGTGCTACTTTTGTCGGTTCCGAAGCTGGCTGCTGTCGGGACATTGTTGTATTCCAATATACCCAGTTCCCACCACATACCCAAACCTTAGCTGGTGGGTATTAATTGCATCCGTTCAGGTCTCAAAACTTGGGAGTTGGAACTTGTTTTGTAATGATCGTTCCTTTGTCGTTTAAACTTTAATGAGACTTCCGTAATGTTTAATTTGACGAAAATATAATGTAGATACCGATCTTTTATAGATAGATAGTCATT